ATCCCATGCACTGCCCGGAAAGATGGCATTCCCAGAAGAATGAAGGGATTTCATGCAAGTCTGAGGAAACAGGACTGGACAAGGTAAGTCAAAAGCACAATAATGGACATGGAAGGAGCCCTTCCATGTGGAGATTCAGTTCAGATTCTGACAAATTATTCCATCAGGTATTTCAACATTAAGGTTTTACTTTAGTGCAATTGAGAAGGGTTTGGCAAATCAAAAACTTGGAGAATTCTTCCACCGACCTGCAAAAGAAAGCCAAAGTGAATTCTTTTCCTATCCCTGGATAGCTGAACTCCTCACTTACTCCAAACCATTTGTTTTTAACTTTAGACAATTCCTGGTCCAAACGAATTTAGGATTAAAAACCAAGTTATTTTGATGTGGTCTACTCCTCACTAGTAATTACAGAACCTAGCATCCTTATCTTTGGACCAACTGCAGCCTGAATTTCCCATATCCTTCCCAGGGAGCTCTGAAGCACATAATGTCTTGGTTCTGCTTTTAAAATCCTGTTTCTTTGCACTTTTATGAATTTACAATGCAGGTAACTATTGAAATATGAAAGATACTGTATCTTCTTTACCACAACCAAATACATCATCAGAGTGAAACATTAGCAACTCATTGAAGTATTTCAGTGAATAGCTTGTCCAGCAATCATTTTTATGCATTTTATAGCCACTTAGCTATTTCATAATAAATTTTAAATATATAATCTGATAGACAGCTCTTACAGACACCTTAAAGAGTCAGAGTCTTCACTGACAAATCAGAAATACTGTTCAGCTTGTATAAAAATGTAACAAAAAAAAATCTCTAATACCAAAATCCTGAAGAACCAGACACTTTATCCATTAAATGGAAAGCACAGCCTTCATTTATTCCAGCAAATATTCATCTTCTGCCAGAAAGGACCTTTCAAGAGGTACTCACCTAATAAAACAGTAAATCCAGCTTACCTAATATGGAGGCAGGTATAGAGGCAATAGCCAGCATTTTTTGAAAGGCATAAGAATTCTAAACCAGTAGTAGCCACTACACTTGATTTAAGGGAGCTTCAGCTCCCTGGGAGCACACAGCCTTCATGCCTGAAACAAATTGGCAAGCACACCCCAGCACAGAGTAGGCAGAATACAAACTCCACCACAGCTTGTCTGGTTAGTTTTCTACTTCCCCAGTTAGCAGCTCAGAAACCTGGTTTCTAATAACTCACTGTCTGCATTTTATTTTGGTTGGTGGGATAAATGAGACAAGCTATTTGAGATCTGTGGTTGCTGACATCACAAGCAATTCAGCCATTCTAGATTCCTTGTTTGTTAAGGTCAAGCTGCCAAATGCAAGGAGGTGGAGAAAATGGCAGATTTTGGGGAGGGGGCCAGGGATGTGTATATGTGATTCTAGGAAGACCAATCTATGTCAAGAGACATTCTGCAGGTTAGCTACCTACACTCAGTCTCCTTGTGCTCCTCTGCACCACTGAAGGATTACTTTTCTGTGCCCTGTGGCACCACCAGCTGTGCACATTATTCTTGACATGTATTTCTGCAGCCTGATCTTAAAGACTTCAGAGCCTGACAGATTTCAGTCTTTGCAATCCTTGCCCACATTTCCGTATCTTTACCTTAGGAAAGTCCTCTGCATTTTCCTCAGTTCAAGGCCATTCTTTCTTGCTTTACCAACAGCAGGCAGGCAGAACAAGCCATTCTCTTCCACACTGCAAAGGCCTGTAACCAGGTTCAAAGGATGGATCCTCTCAATCCTCTCTTCAGGCCAAAGAACATCGAGGTCATGTTTTCACACTTTCAACAACTCTCTTTTCCTCTCTACACAGTCCTCAATTGGTGCACAGCATTCTTGGATTTTGGTACCCAGATGGTCTGGGATTTCGTACCTGATCCTCTAGGACAAGCCCTAATAATGCTGAACAACTCACTCATCTCCCACGCAGGCTACAGATCTCATGCACATCCCCCAATAGGATTTTTCTTTTGCCAGTCTTCCCCTGGGACTGCCATCCTTTCCTGTACCTTTCCTGAGCCAGCTCTCTCCATGCTGTCACTATTCCTGAGCTCTGTGCTTCACATTTGTACCCCTTGATGAATTTTTATGCTTTTCAGATTACACTTCCAGTTTGACAAGATCATTTCAAGTCCTGAGCTTTTTGTTCTCCACAATATTCCCACTCCACTTAGTGTCCTCTGAGGATTTAAACAGGCCATTCTCCAGTTCTTTGTCCGAATCCTTAACAAAAACACCGACTAGTTTTCACCTCTATGCTGTCCCCATCCATACCATGGGCTTTTAGGCAGAAACAGCAGCAGCTCTCTGCAGGCTTCCAGAAGAAGCATCAGGGTGCTATACATATGCATAAACAAAGGATAACTGAATACTGACAACTATCATTATCTATTATATTCTACTTCTAAAAAAATCAGACACATCTGATACCCAGGAAAATACACATTCAAATCCACCCTGCTATGCATAATTGGATAGGGAATTTGGAATTTAAATTAAGGTTTTGTTTTGTACATTATAAGTCAACAGCAGTGAGACTTCAGCTCCTCCAGAACTAAACCAACATTGCATTATTAGCATTTCTCTCTCTATTGTTTTATAGTTTCACCTTCTGTGCTAATTCTTTTTATTCTATTTACTGAGCTGCTGTCTTACTGTATGACTCCCTACCTCAAAAAATTCATCACTGATACAACGCAGTTACAGTAATAATTGCTGAAAGATAAACACAACAATTTATGTAAACTACCTTCCCACTGACAATGAAGCCCGTTGTTTAAGGGTAAGAAAAGCATCTCCTGGAGATGCTTCTCATCTCAGAGAAAATGTACTTTTTTATTTCACCTAAGAGCAGTTTGTCAAGAACCTCTTTATTCCTTTAAACCTCTCTCAAGGTTATCTCACAGATGTTCAGAAATTAATTGAAAAAACCAGTGACAAAGCAGAGAAAATTCTGGCTCCTCAAAGTGTTTTTTTTAAGTTGCAGTTAACTCCTGCAAGCTCTGTGCACAGCCAGGAACAGGCACAGGCATGGCCCAGAATAACTTAAGCGCTTGCAGTACTCCCAGAGACTGAGTTGTATTCATCCCTGAGAATCCTGCAAAATAAAGGAAAGAACAGAAGGCTTCTCTCAGCAGCTTGGGACAGAAGAGAGCATTTCCAGGACATCACAGCCTGGCTGCTTTCCCCGGCAGTGGCCTTGGGGAAGAGGGCTGACACGGCCGTGTGCCAGCCCCATACCACCTGGGAAGCCCACCCACGAAAAGTGAGGTCTCAGAGCACCACTTTCAGCTTTTTAGGGCATTTATATCACCCAGGCAATGGTAAAGGTCCCTGAGAAAATCCAGAGTCAGATCAGACACACCCACAGTTTTATCTGTCACCCCTCTGCTCCTGGGGCAGGGAGCAGTAGCTGTCTGAGAGCACCATTTGGCAACGCTGGCCAGCAGCACAATTTCCCGCCTGACTGGGAACAAGGAATTGCCTAGAACAGACGGATCAACCAATCAGACTGAAACTCCCCTTTGTGGCTAAGCAGGGAATCATAAATGAGGCAAAGGAGCTGCTGCTGGAGAGACCCCCCCCAGGCAGCCCTACAGCCAAGTGACTCCCAGGCTGACACTGCAGAGTGTGCAAGGAGGGAGGCAACTCTGAGAGCTTCTCAGGAGGGAAACCAAAGCAACTCTGTATGGAACACCATTTATCGGAAGAGGAAAAGGTGGGGAGCAGGGCAAAACTGCAGCGGGGAAAAGCAGCTTTAAACTTTCTACCACAGATGCCCAACACGTACCATAGCAATCTATGGGGTTACAGAGGGAAAACATCTGAAAGCAAAGCAGCAAAGCTCTGATCTGACCCAGAAAAAGTCAGTAATGATGAAGGGAAGGAATGACAACCTCCGTCTGACTGGGTACTGGTGTGGTTCCTTCCTTTCCTTTTGTCAGCTGCAGAATAACAACTTCAATTTAAAAGACTTCTCCCCCCTCCTCGTAGATTTGAAGAGCACACAGGTGAAGAAAAGCAACTAAATTGAAGCAATTTACCTTGAATATTTTTTTCCTCTAAATATGATTTGACTGCTAGTCTGTACAACTGAGTCATTGTCAGTGTAGCACTGTCAATGGTGTAGAGGCTGACTCACAGGGAGCAGCCAGTCCCAGGCAGTTTCTGTTTGAGAGGAATGTTTGGTAAGATCTCACCTTTTATCTGCCACCTAAATATCATCTTACAAGTAAAGCTAACTGTATATCAGAATAAGGGTCTCTAACTATTAGGACGCTGTTTCAAATAAACATTTTAAAATGTTAAAAATACAGAAATAGGTTGGTGCTGATCTGCTGTTTCAGCTACTAAATACCTGTCGTTCATTTAACAAGGCTACACAACAAACTGTTTTTTTCTCCACCCTCCACAAATCAACTTTCACAGCTAGTGCAACAGGAAAACTTCCTTGGGATGTAGCAAAAACAAAATGTCTGTAAAACTAGTCCTGTAACCCTGGCTCACTTTCATTTGAGCTGTTCAGACATTGACAGACTGCTAAGAACAACTAAGAATTCTAAAACAGGACCCAATTTTTTCATAACAGTCAGCACATCTGCCTGTTGTTAGTTCTCTCCTAATAACTCTTCCTGCCCCATGTTTATTGCCCCTAAATCGTGTGTCATAATAAGAAACACAACTCTAAGGTAAGTAAATGTAAAAGACTTTGAGTCAAAGGGAAGCCAAAGTTTTTGATGGCTGACAAGTCAGGAAGCCCCAGAAGTCAAAGCTCAGCTTTACAGCTGCTTTTTATATTCTCCAGGCTGTACTACATGGAGGTAAATTCCCCCTGCACCTCTGGGCACACAGAGCACAGAACACAGTTTCACTTTTGCATTACTTTTCCTCCTTTCCTTTTTTCTCCCCCCACCTAATCACAGTCCTCAGTGTAATCACTCAGCGGACTTTGTTCTCATCAGCTCGAGGTGCTGTACCTTTCAGAGGTAAAGACAAGCTTCACTCCTCTCACACTCAGCACGATGCTCTTCTGATGTTCCTTCTTCCTGCCTTAAGCAGGGAGCTGTCTGGGAGGAGAAAAGGTGGTTACAATATTTCCAAAGGAAAAAAAAAATCATATTATGAAGTTTGTCAGAGAAATTTTTTTCTCTAAATGTTCCAGCTGGGTTTTTCAGACCACAGATGTTTGAAATCTTCACAAGCCCCTCTGATGTTGCTCATTGGATTTCGGTATTTCTCATCTGCTGTTGTTCTGCCCATGTCTTTGGGTCTCCAGCTATTTGTTCTACCAATCTAGATTACATACTGGCTGATAACCCCAAGTCTTCTCTGCCTCCACCTGGAAAATATTTTATCATTCAGAGAGTAATTTCCTGCTTCTTCTAGTTGTCTAAGTTATCCTACCTGCCCACAGTGCTGCTCGTTGTCTGAGCTGTTATCTCTAAAGACAAATAGCAATTGGCTTTGCAAACTTAGCCAGGAGCACACATTTACCCTGTGGCTTTCCTTGCTGTTCTCACCTTCCTCCCCATCCCACACCATTTACCGATCTGCTCACGCTGCAGGGAGCCACATAAAAAGCTGTTTTCCTTTAGCTGAAGTATAAAAGGAGGAAATCTGTTGGGATCCAATTTGTCTCTTGCTGATGCAGAATGTGGACCTGAAGGGAAGACAGAACTGCATCAGGTATTTAGTATCTCAGCACCCTCTACAAAGCAGTTAAGTGCACATCCCTCCAGGACAGCTGCAAAGCTTATCAGCCCTAACTCTGCTGCTCCCTGAGCCAGATCAGCTCCAGCAGCTGCTGTGTGGGGCAGGTGAGGTGGAACATCCGGCAGTGCCCGAGTTTTGGCACGTCCAGTTGTCAGGGTAACTAATGTTCCACTGGGTGAGATGCTGCACGTGGCAGCGGGACATACAGGAAGCACAGCCCGTGCCTGCTGGCTGGGCTGGGGTGGTATAATCTCCACGGTGGAAATAAAGGAATCCACTGGAAATAGCTGCATTTTATAGGCAGGTCCGCATGGCACCACAGGAAACATTAAGATTGCTCCAACTTAGCTAACCCAAGGAAAGGGAGATCCATGGATTTTATCTCACCCTGTAGTTCGACTGCTGCTTCAGCCATTGATTTATCTTTTCCGGGCCATGGCAAACTAAGATCTAATTTATTATCAAATCAGCCTGAAAGAAAACTTGAGAGCTTTAGAGCATTTAGAACTTTCCAGCCTCAGCACTGTCTTTCAGTCATTGATTTTATTTCCCCAGATATTTTTCTTGTTAGAGATGTACAGTTTATTGCAAATCCTCCTAACTGCAAGGAACAAAATTCTCCACAGGCTTAGCAGACTTTTCCCTTCAGGTGCTCGCAATAGTATTTCTCTGTACTAATAAAAATAGGCTCCTCAAAATGGTCTCTGCTTAGAAGCACATTACTGTCCCAAATTCCGTTGTTGTAAGGGGTGGTATGCACAGAAACTCACAGGTAAAGGGTAATGGCCATGCAGCTTTGGATTAAACTCACTAAAGGAAGCAAGCTCAGTGATTTTGGGATGTCACATAAGTCTGGCTGAAAAGAAGAAAGCTAACAAATATGTTCTGCATGAAACTGTAAGATGTTGTCAATGACGAGTTCTTGTAATTGAAAACACCAGAGCAGAACAGCAGTAGACTGGCTATAAATTTAATTTAAAGTGTATTCCCAGGGATTTCTGTACATAATTAAATGAAAAATTGTTTTTCAATGATTTCTCAATATTTATCTCACTCAATCTCTGCGTTTCTCTGACCGGAATCTTTTTCTGCTCTGTTATGCCATGAGGGTCTGAATGTTACAGATATAAGTAATTTCCCATCCATCCAACAACTGAACAGAACTAATCAAGAGTAAAAGTGAATTAGAAAGCAGAGACCGTTTTTAACCTTACCTGTATTTTACATATTGCAACTCAAGCTGATTAAAATCCATTATGCAGTAACAATGAAGCAGCTAAAGTGGCCTTGATCTTTGAGAAAGACACGTGGAAGCCTTTAAACTGACAGAAATTCGTGACATATTTTCTACTAAAAAGAAAAGCAAGCAAGACTTTAAAGAGTAATTAAGAGTGACTAAGTGTTCCCATGTGCCAATACCTGACGGTTGTATCAGCTGGAACAACCTACAGCTCCTGTTTTACAGCCTCTGCTGTCAAATGCAAGTCCTTGTACCACTGGGGCCCCCATCCTTAAAAAAACCCCACTGAATCAACAGCTTGATTTTAAAGATTTAATGGCATTCATTCTATTATAAAATATTCTGAAAACAATCCCTTTGATAACTGACAAGTTGCCAGAAACAAGGCTCTCGAGAGTCAGAAGTCCAAGAAAAATACAAATTAAAAATAACTTCTGAAAGGTGGTTCCTCATCTATATTTCGAAATCTCACCCAGGATTCAGCTTTATGCAACAGAAGATCCTACTAAGGACTGCTTCTAGACTCTTCTTTTCTCAGGGATCTATGTTACTTCTAGTAGAAATAATTCTAAGAGCATCAGAAAATGTGCATAAATGATTTACAGCAAACTTCAATGCATGAGCTCAAAAATCATATTTTAAAAGTTTATGACATTAATGTATGTTCTGTAGATGAGCTGATGTGATAAAAATAATGAAAAAGATATCAATTGTAAGGCAGAGATCAGCCAGCTCAGATTTCAAGTGCCTTAGGTTCCTCTTTACCATTTGAGAAAAGCATCAACTAGATTACAGAGCAACATATAAATTAGAATCAATTTCACTGAAATTTATCCAAAATTGGCATAAGGATGATCAGAAGGATTCTCTGAGTTTGTAAGGAAAAGTGCAAGTACTGATGCTGTACCTGTCTGCCTCAACACCCAAATGAACCCTGAAGACAGGACTGGCTGCTCACAGAAATGCAGCCACCAAAAGCAGTTTTCAAAGGAGAAATGGCTCACTCCTTGCCATTATTACAGCCTATTTCAGCTCCCTCTAAAGTCATGGAAAATTGGCCCATAATCACCAAGGGAGCAGAGAACTTCCTGAGAGGCTTGAGAATAAAAAATAAAATGAAATAAAAAAGTAAAACAAACCCCAAAAAACCCTAACCCAAACTACCCCAAAACTTTATTCAGACTCTCACAGCTCAGCATTTTTTGTGAGCTGGCACTAAAGGGGATAATTTTTCTAATTCCCACAGAAACCAAAAGTGAAAAACCAATCCACACCCTAAGTATGAGTAGTATATACATGTCAACAGGATGTCAAAAGTGGGATTACCACACCTGCTGCTCAGTGCACAACCAGACAAATGCCACAACTGTTCCAGCACCCCCTTCAACTGAAGCACCCTGTTTTTCTGTAGGAAGCTGCCTGCAAAATGTACTTCTAGCTGTCAGGGAGTACCTCCACCCTCTGTCAACACCACCTAAAAAACCCTCTTTTCCTAGACTTGCTAGATTTTTCCCTAAATTTAAATTCATGTTACTTTGTATCATTTACTTATTTTGTCCACTTCTATATAGCCTACTAATCCTACTATTTCAGTCCTAGAGGAGGGAAGAAAATGACTTAGGCTTCAGTAAGAAAAAAACCAGCTGAGCTGAGCTGAGCAGGTGAATCCAAATGACAAGATAAGTGATCAAACCACACAAAGCACTTTCGTGGTTGCTGGGTGTTGCTAAAGCCTCCTGGAGAAGAGTTCTTACTAAAGAGTAAAGAGCTCATTAGCACTTGTCATACAAGTGATCTACAGCGAGATCTTTCTGTCTGAAGCACTGAACTGGAGCTGACAGACCGTTTGCACCTCAGTTCTGCTGCACACATTTCTCTTTATGCCTTATTTCCTAATATTTGTGTCAGAACAATAATTTTAGCACATTACAAGCATGTGATTGTCAGCTGAGAAAGCGTTATGCTTTTTCATAACCATTTCAGATACTCTTGCTCAGAGGATACTGGAGCACAGGTAATCACCATTCATCACATTTTCATCTATTTCTGAATGATCATATGTTCAAAATTTTGTGGAATTATAGGAATTAATTACTAAACAAAAACCTATTAGTAGTGCATTTTAGTTACCTTAATACATATTTCTTTCCGTCAATGAGGAATTCCATTCCATTGCTATAAGAGGGGGCTGGGGGTGATTTTTTTGGTTCTCTTTGCTGAGAGGGCCACATTTGGGGTTTAATCGAGGGGTTTTTTACTGAGAAGATTCCTTTCAGAGACAGCCTCTGTACTTGCCTATTCACAAATAATTTCTTACTATAATCTGGGCTACCCTGGGCTATGAGAAGATGCTGCACACTGTTGACAAACCAGGGACACTTCTCTATGAAAATCAAGCCTCTTCTTCAAGACCTAGCAGGGCTAAGTGATTTTTTTTTTAAAGTCGTAGGTGAAAATGCAAAAGAAAGCACAGCTGCAGAAATGAGATAAGCTAATCTCAAATCTCAGATACCACTTGGTGAGGAAATCAAGTTTGTGAAGAGAGGAAAAAAGTATTTCTTTGACATGATTTAGCTGACAATTACTGAGATAAAACACTGTTCTTTTTTGTGTGTGTTGTGGTCCACCCACCACACTCCAGCATTAGAAAATTCATTCTGGTTAATTAGAAAATGGCTATCATAACTTTCTGCTCTGATCACACAGGGAGTCATCATTCCTCCAAGCTCCCCTGTTTGCCAGAGAGCAGTGGCATCCTGGTGACAGGGGCTGTGCCAGCTGGGATGGATGTGCCAAGGCCCTGCTCCAGGGCAATGGCCTGGCAGCTGAGCTGGATCCCCACAGGCTGCCCTGGCAGCCTTGCCTGGCCTTCACAGGAGCCACAGTGGCACTTGGGACAGGGAATGGCTGTGATCTGAGCTCTTGAGATGCCCCTTGAATATCATGGCAAGACCAGTGTGTGCCTCTCCTCCAACACCACCATTTCTGCAAAGAACATGGCTGAAGAGCCTGATAATGTTTCTGAAAACAGGAATTCCAGGGAAACAAATACTCAGCTCCATCTGGTGAGGAAGAGATAAAACCATGCATTCCATTTCATTTTAAGAAAAGCTGTTATTTGCTTCAATGGTTAAAATTGTAATTTGGAAGCTTACCCATGAGACAAATACATCTCACATATGCCAGGGACAGCATTTTCTGATCCCCTTTAATCCATTAAGGAAATACAATCTCCCATCTCAGCAATAAGCCATGCATCTATTTCCCATGGCACACACATTTTTCTTCATCAGCCTACAGATCTCTGGCAACGTTAGCAAACATTGTAAGACAGTGCATTCCAAAGGCTGGCACACAATTCATCAGGCTGAACTTCCAAACACTTCTCTTCCAAAGTGTGTCTCAGACCAAGTATGTGAACACAAGGGAGAGTTTCCATGTGTCTCTCTCAGCTCACTGGTTCAGTGAGCAGAGGTGATAAATCCACCCAAGTACCATTACAGGTGTACACAAACAGCTGCTGAAGGACAACTACTGTCAGCTGAGGGCAACTAAACAATCACTCTGACCAGGAGAAAGTGGTAAGGAAAATAAGATTCTTGTGGGCAGCCA